GGATCCTGAGGTGCTGGAGCAGGTCCAGAGGAGAGCAACGAGGCTGGTGAAGGGACTAGAGGGAAAGTCTTATAATGAGAGGCTAAGGAAGCTGGGGTTGTTTAGCCTGGAGGAGACTCAGGGGTAGCCTTATCACTCTCTGCAACTATCTGAAGGGAGGTTGTAGTCAGGTGGTGGTCAGGCTCTTCTTCCAGGCAACAAGAGGGCATAGTCTGAAGCTGTGCCAGGGGAGGTTTAGGCTGGATATTAGAAAGCACTTTCTCACTGAAAGGGTGATCAGGCATTGGAATGGACTGCCCAGGGAGGTGGTGGAGTCACCATCCCTGGAGATGTTTAAGGGAAGGTTGGATGTGGCACTGAGTGCCACGGTCTAGTTGATGTTGTAGTGTTAGGTCATAGGCTGGACTTGATCTCAGAGGTCTTTTCCAGCCTCAATAATTCTGTGTGATTCTGTGATTCTGTGATGTTTTATAACACAAAGACACAGATTGCAGAATCTCTTTTTGTTATTGTTTTTCTACTTGTATACCATATCATTTTCTGGGGAAAATGATAGGCTATTTACAGACAAACCAGATCACCAACTGCAGACTGTCCAAATTAAAATAAACAGCAATTACGTAGCACTTAGCCCTTTAAAATGATTATTTAAAGTTCCTGGATTTCAGGGACTTGAAGATCTAGGAAAAGATGGAAGTAGGATTTAAAATACTGAAAAAGATCTTTGATATTTTCTATTATGCTAATTTGGTATACCGAAGGGGAAGGGATGAAAGTTAATGCATTGATTTGTAGAAATTGTTTGATAGGTCCTTGTATGGGAAAATAAAAGTCCTTCTCCCCTGCCCATGCCTCCATTAGATTTTACTGAGCAAATTCATATTTGCTTAACATATTCATTGGTAGCTTTTGCATGAATCCAGCCAGAAAAATCACTTAACTTTATAGGATGCTGAATACTGGTATCAAAAGTCAATAGCATATTTTCTCTTAGCAGCTTTACATTTACTTTAAAAGCTTCCCTTCAACTGGAAATAAGGCCTGTCTGTATCTTCACAAAGTAGGTGTTCCCTGACACTAATGCAGTGACTGACACTACTGAAAGTAATAGTCCTGTTCCCCTTGCAAACCCATAGCTCCTAAATCTGCTTTTTGTTATCAGTATAATGGGGTTGAATACATTTTTTAAAGGTGGTAGCTATTGATTGCTTAATGGAAAAAGTTAGTATAGAGAACTGCTGAAGCAGCCCTATTTAGTGCTCTCCAGTGCAACAAGACCATTATCTAGAATAGTGGAAATCATCCTGTAACCCTTATTAATATTTAATAGGGATGAAGCAACAGTGAAGTACACTACAAAATAGCCCAAGGCTTTTGCACATGCAGGATATAAGGTTGTTTCAAGGGTCGAAAAAGAATAACTGATTTCCCTGTGCTCAAGCTGTTTATAGGTAAAACCAACAATAAACAATGCTTTTCCTCTTGTTCCTTTTAATGTATCTGCAGCACATCTGCACTTTAATATACAGTTATTCCTATTAGACATCTTGAAGTGACTGAAGGCAACAGAAGGGTCAATGTATGTTTAGATATCTCTGTGTGAGACTATTTTATACTTTCCCAATATTGCTGTGCATCCCAGCCTCCCTCTTTCTATCCCTCCTGCTCCATGCTCCAGGGCACATTTGGCTGGGTTGACAAGCCAGTGAAAGGTGTTAATCCTGTCTAATAGAACCATAATCCTTGGGGCTGATTTTTATATCATACTATTGAGCTAAGCCCTTGTCATGGATATTGTTCATCTACTTAATAATAGAGTTATTTATGAGAATTTTAGATAAAATTAAAGCATACAATTCAATGTGTATGTGTATATATGTCTATGTGTAAAGCATACAATACTATTCAAAAATAGTCCTTTTTTATTTCACAGGGCAAAAACAAACAAATAAACCACAATGTTTAGCCAACAGAGATTTTCCTGATATATTACAATCAATTAAAAGGACAGTTGTGTGAATTTTTTCTCCCCCCCC